AAATTTAAAAAAAAATTGAAAGAAAAAAATGTTTATTTCTGTACTATGGAGAGAAATAATTAATATTCACATTCCCAGATTTTATAGTGACAAAATATTTACCACTATTGCAAATAAAATATTTTATAGCGGAAAATATTTAATGAAATTAATAAAATGTGTGCAATCAGTTTTGTTTTTTTTTCATTTTGGAGGTTTAATTTTGCACAGGTATTTCAGAAGAGGGTTGCTGATGCCTAAATCAATATTGCTTACTTGCCAGCAGATGGCCTCATCCTGTCGTATGTGCATATCTCTTTCATTTCTTTACATTAGAACAGAACACATTTACACTTAGCCAGAGATTCAGGCCATCTTGCCTTATAAGAAAGGTTTATGATCATTGCAATTATATGAAGACATGGATGGCACATCAACTTCAGTACAAAAGTGATATACTTGTAGAAGCATGGGATGACAAAGAAGAAAGATGTATAGTATCAAGAAGAGACTTGCAGCATAAAGAAACATTTAATAAATCATTGTAATTCATTCAACATTACTGATGCATTTCATTATTACACATATTTTCAAATTGCATCATTGCCTTTTAGCACTGCTCATTGATGTTTTCCTGCTTTCTAAGCAATCCTTGAGTCTTTGAGCATGTCATTCCATTTTGGACAGAGCCAGGAGAAGGTGGAGAATCCATAAACATAGAGAGGTGGATTAATCCAATAGATGAAGAATGCTTAGACACTAAAAGCATTGTTAGAAACCCAAATCAAATTAATCTTCAACAGAAATATGTAGAATGTAGAAATTTTGAATTTAGAAAATAGGAAAAATTAGGAAAAACTAAAGGAAAATAGGTCACTAGATACTGTGTAAAGTCCAACATTTAGCAATATTAAAAAGAGTTAAAAAAAAACCTAAAAATTTTAGAATTACAAAGAGAGAAGCAGAATTGCAGCAGAGGAAAACAATGATGAAACATGTTTTACAAAAGTACAGCATTTAAAGCTACAATAACAGACTGTGAGACTTTATGGTATTGGTACTCAAAGAATAAAATGAAATAGTAAATTCATATTTTATGCAAAATAGGAAATACTTCTTTCGCATAAACAGTTGTAGGCATTGGGCAGCATGATTGCGCAATGGCCTGTATTCCATTTGAAGGAGGTTCTATCTGCGTGTCATTTGAATGCTTTCCCGTGTTCACATGGATTTCCTTCAGGTGATCCAGTTTCCTCCCACAATCCAAAAACATATTAGCTGGTTATTTGGCTTGTAGGAAAATTGGCCCTGCGTGTCTGTATTTGTATCTGTGTTTGCCCTGTAATAGACTTGCTTCCCATCCAGTGTGTACTGTATCTTGCCTTGTGCCTATTGCTCCAGCTCTCCCATGACACTGTATTTGACAAAGCGGTTAGAAAATGGATGGGGTTCTAGGTGTTTGGAACAGGTTCCCCAGCTACTGTAGGTGGTTAGGCTCAAAAGTCAAGTACAACATTTTTCAATTGGCTAAATGACCTCTTCTGGGTTATTGCCTTTCTTATAATAGCTAAAGGCAACAGTAAAAATGTCTTCTTGCCACCCAAGATATTATTAACTATTGCCAGCACACCCAAGATGAAAGTGCAGTTAGGAAATCGGGTGTGTCTTCCACAACAAAGAAAGATAGACATTGGTTGTAATATGCCCTTGTGTGTGTTATCAGCCAAAATTACAGATAAGCCAGTAGCATGTGTGTATAAAGACAGATAATATGAAAAAGCATATGCTTCATATTCTACATGTCTGAAACAGGTTTGCTTAGTATTGAAATATGATTTCAATACCTGATCTCATATACTGTGAACTGAAGCAGTTTGTCTTTAGGAAATTATTGTATTAAAAGGTGTGAGGATATACAATAGTATAGCTTTTATAGATTGATTGCATTTGAAAATTAATAAATGGAACAAATTGGGGAAATGATAAAAGTGTGTGTTTCTGGAGACATATACAAAATAAGTTCTGTTATGTTTAGTTTAGCACTCCAATGGACTGGGGTCCCATTCAGTATGTACCCTGCTTGCGCCCATTACCTGTTGGCTCCCCAGTGACACTGAATTGGATGAAAGGGTTACAAAATGGATGGATGTTTAGTTTAAGAAGGAGAGCAGTTATGTTTTAAAGTTTTACAAATAAATTGTTATCCATACCAGTGAAATTATAGACTTGATTCCTAGTTGCATATTGTATATTGTATTTTAAACAGGAAAAGTAGGTGCAGTAAATGGATAAAGAAAAATATTATCATACTCTGTACCCCAAAAGCTTGTAGTTTTTTTACCTTCACCATATTCAACAAACAAATATCCACTTTCCATTCAACTTCCAGTTTCATCCAGTGTAGGATTTGATTGGTTGTGAGGTCATTTTTGAAACATAACAATAATTTGAGAGGATGTACCATCCGTGATGGTAACAGTTATCCGTTGTTTTCTCACAGTGAGTACCTATTCAATACAAGCCCTATGTGCACCAGAAACTCCCCAAGTTTTTGATAATTTTACTATAAGTTGTTGAATGAATAATACAGTGACTTATGTATTCTGTACTGCAGCCTCTGACATTCGACTATATCATTGCTGGGAGTGGTTTTCAGCTCTGCAAAGTGAGGCATTAATTATTAACTATACCTATTTGTTATCGCCTTTGCACAGGGTGACTCGGTTTGTATGATATTAGTAAGACAGTTTGATAAGGATTTATTTTTCCTTGAGCGAAACTCCCCACTACTCATAGAGAAAATTTGCCTCAACTTTCTGGCATCATACACATTTTGTTATATGCATCATCAGCCAACATGTATAATATTTAATGACAACATTTGAAGTGAGTAAAACATTGTTGATCTTGAATTCCAGCCAAGGAAAAATAAACTTTTCTTCTTAAAAAATAAAATCAGCTTGATTTATTTGAATTGGCAATGGGCAACAAGTATCCAATAGAGATTGAACCTGGAACTTCAAACTACATAATTCCAGGTTCTTTTTCAAGAGTCTTGAGTTTCAGTAATGTCTTCAATCACTCAATCAAGCACTGTTAAAACAATCATTGTTACAAAATATGTTAAGGTTTGAGTTTAGAATGTTTTACTTCTTGAACATACTAATCATTAGCATTGTTGTTTTCATGTAAGGCAAGTTCACATGATTATGGAAACTTATATTAAGAGAAGATGTTTAGTAACCCAACAATTTATATTCTAAATTATATAATGTACCATCTGTCTAGACATGCAGGCCTTGCTCTATAAGAATAAGCTACCTGAGCCACTCTTGACAAGACAGAGTGCTCAGCTCCTTTCCTCATTGGTTCTGCTGCTTGTGAGATAGTTGGAATCAAAAGTACCCTGAGAAAATACATGTGAGCACAGGAAAACATACAAACTCTGTCTCTGACAGGAAAAACAAACAGATTGGGTGGATGGTATAGAAGAATGGTGTCAGATAAATCTAAATAGCATAAACCAGCACTAGACAGAACATCATGGAAAAGCATGGTCAAATAAGTAATGGGCAGTGTACCCACAAAAACTGATAATGATGTCTTAGAAAATTACTGATGATGATGTATGTATTAGAAAATGTTTAAACCCCCTCTAAGGGATGCAATGTGTCAATATTTTTGTTGTGTTTCATTAATGGGTTTATTAAAATACTTGTGTTTTAGAATGGGGCCCATCTGAATTATAAACTTGCTCACTGAAAGTACTAAACATCATGATGTATATGACAAAGAACAAAGAATTACTCAGAAAACATGAAATATGATTATTTTCTTTCCAATCTAATCAACCCAAATTTTCCAGGCCAGAGTCAGAGAAATCTTGCTCTGGCCTGGGGGAATTGCTCCTAATCTGGCTTGACTGAATTTTAAACAAACCCCTGCTGTAACACGTGACACCTCAGAAATAGCTGAAAGGCAGGATATAATCATCGAGAATAGCCACTGGACCATATGTAGAATGCAGACTCGTAAACCCTCATTCATAGCAATTACATGGGTGGACTCAGACTATAAAACCCTCTGTAACATTGTTGCAATTAGAGCACTATGGGAAATACACCTTCCGTGTGTCTCTATCAGTATTCTCTGGAAGTGGCCATGTTCCTTACAATTAAACTCAAACCGTGACTGGACTGCGCTGTGAATCCTTGCAATCCTATAATATCACAGTGTTCCTGCGTAGAATGATCAGTTGTTGAGGTCTGCTGTGCATGATGTGTGGGACATGGACCATATTTTTCTCCCACCCTAGTCAGTTTTTGTCATGTGAACCCTTTGCCTCCGAAAGCAACAACAATGGGTTCTTTCTGCTCATGACTGGATAAGGAAGGGCATGATTTTAAAAATAAAAGAGATTCATATTCACACACACCTCAGTTACTTCAACAAATAAACCTGAGCAAACATCTCAAATCCATATCTCAAATGTGAAACTGGGCCGCGTCAGCGACAGCATTGAAATTAATCGTAGCTTTTCTGTGGGTGTTTACCATTTGAGACATGAGGTGATAAGTGATGTGAGAAAACATTTTTATTACAGTTAAACTCAACTGGGAGCTCAGCGAGACACAAGCAGAAAAGAAAAGGGGTGACAGCAGACAAATCCAATTTAAAAATGTCACTTTCAACTCTACATTTTGCTATCCTGTTCAGCTTACTAGGTAGGTTACCTGCATCATAAATTCACACATACATTTTAAGAATCTCTGGGATTTGCTATGTTTTTGGAATTACCTGCTTCTTTTTGCTAGAAAGCAGCATTACATTAGCAGGAAAGGTGAGCAGATGTAAGAAACAGATATTCAGCTGTCATTGTAAATGTATTTGAACAGTTTTATAACGGTTAGAAAGAGATAATGTTAGCTATTTTTCACTAGGAATGGAGGCTAAATGGATCTCACCTGGAGTTGAGATGGTCTTAATATCTATTACAATTTGAACATTTGTTGTGAATAATTTTCACTGAATGTAATGCTAACTTGCACCAGTTGGATATTTAACTTTTATCAAAATTGGAATACAAAAATATAACAAAATGTTTTTCAGCTCTGCATTCCATCCAGGTTTTGGAGGGAAAATGGAGCTTTAACTGAAAGGGAGAACTTTTATTTCAAATATTACAATGGGTGTTGAATTGTTAAAAGAAAAATGAATCGCTTTGC